AGTTATTGAATGGAATATGAAAAATATTGATTTGGTTTTTTTTAGTTTTTATGTTCTTTATCTAGCTCAGCTTGCCAAATATGCATTCTTATGTAATCTTACTTTTTCAATTTATTTCTTACTGGGTGGATAGCCTTCTTTTTATAAAGTAATTACTGTCATTAGCTGTCATTACTCAACAAATAGGAGCTAGTCAATCTTCTAAACTTTTTCTGTTCACTTATATATTGAAAACGCATTTAATTCCCACATTATCTTCTTCTATTTGTTATTCCTAAAGGATTATTCCCACTTGTAAGGATTAAATTTATATCACATGGGGTGGGTACCATTTTAATTGTCTTGAGTTATTCAAAGAAAAACTGTTAGTTGAAAAGTTAATTGATGCCGTAATTAGATTTCCTCTTTTAAAATGTGGAGAATGACACAGAAGTTTACATTTGGTTTGTATTCAAGGTTACATGTATTCAATCTTTAGATTTATTAGTACTGTTAGCCATTCATATCTGTAAATTCTGCATCTATGGATTCAACTAACCATGGATTGAAAATATTAGGGAAAAAGGGCATCTTTACTGAACATATGCAGACTTTATTCTTGTCATTATTCATTAAACAGTACAGTGTTAACAGGTTAGTTAGAATTTACATTGTATTAGTTACTATAAATCTAGAGATGATCAAAAAGTATATGGAAGGATGCACAGAGGTTTTATACACAAATACTATATCATTTTTATGTAAGGGACTTGAGCATCATTAGATTTGGGTATGTAAGGGTTCCTGGAACTAATCTACTTTGAATGCCGAGGGATGATAATACTGTGGTTTGGATGTGGTTTGAGTGTGAAACCAAAGATGAATGTGCTAGAAACTTGATTCTCAGAGTTTTCAGAGTAATGATGTTGAAAGGTGGGAACTAGTAGAATATGGTTAGGTCATTAGGGGTGGTGCCCTTGGAAGAGATTAATGTAGTTCTTTCAGGACCCCAATTAATTTCCAAGAGAGTGAGTTGTTATAAAAAGAGAAAGCCTAGTTCTTGAATCATTCCGACTTCTTGCTCCTATTTCTGCCATTATGATGCCATCTGCCATGAGGCACTCAACATAGACTGAGCTGATTGGGCCAAAACTGAGCTAAACAAACCTTTTGTCTTTTATAAATTACTCAACTTCAAGTATTTTGTTACAGAAACAAAAAACTAAGATAATATTCACCTTTTAGTTTGTCCTTTTTAGGTATCAATTAAAAAATCCCTTTCTTATTCTAATATCATAAATTTTATTCCATATTTTCCTATGAAAGTTTTTCTTTTTTGCCATTAGCTCTTTAAGCTCTCTGTAAATTTTTAAAAAAGTTCTCTGATTTTTAAAAAATAAAGTACATGGTTCATTGTACTTATGCTCTCAAGTAATACCCTGACCCCTGCTATTGGTAGTACTGTCTTAGCCACTTATAAATTGCTATGTGTTTTGATTTAGATGTGAGGTGTCCCCCAAAAGCTTATGTGTGAGACAATGCAAGAAGGTTTAGAGGTGAAATGACTGGGTTATGAGATTTTTAACCTCATCAGTGCTTAACTGAGTGGCAACTGTAGGCAGGTAGGGTGTGGCTGGTGGAGATGGGTCCTTGGGGATATGTCTTTGGGTGTTTATATGTCTTGGGGTGTTTATTTTTATCTGCTTCCTGATCATTATGTGTGAGCCTCTTTTCTTGCACCACGCACTTCTGCCATGATGTTCTGCCTCACCCAAGCCCAGAGGAGTGGAGCCAGCCTTCTGTGGACTGACAGCTTTGAAACCATAAGCTCCAAAGTAAACTTGTCCTCCACTAATTGTTCTTGTCTGGTTTTTAGGTTATGGCAGCAAAAATCGAAAACACCATGTGTGTCTGTTTCTAGACTTGCTTTTCTATTTCAGGGATCTCTTTGTCTAAACCTGTGCTTGTACCACTTTATTTCCATCATAATAAACTCAGAAATTTGATATGATCAACCATGCTTGCCCCATGCTTTTTGTTATTTTTGACTTTTCACTTTCCATATATATTATAGAATCAATATGAGGAGTTCTTAAAAAGCCTTGTTGGGATTTTGACTTTTGATGCATTGGAATTACAGAATAATTTGCAGGAAATCGACCTTCATTAATTTACTTATTTAATAGTCCTCTTTATGTAGATATAAGTTTCTGCCCTATTTCCCTTCTCTGTGAAGAACAACTTTGAACATTTTTTTTTTTATAAGGCAGCTCTACTTACAAAAACATTCTTCCCCTTTTGTTTGTATGATAATTACCCTTGGTATGAGATTCTAGGTTGGTTTTATTTTACTTTCAAAACTGAATATTTCATCCCAACATCAGGTGTTAGACAAAATGAACTGAGGAAAATGGGCCTTTTGTGTGCAATTTTATGGCTATCAAAGGCTGAGCTCGTCTGTGTTTATTGTCTGATAGCTGTAGGTTTCAGAGGCTAACATTTCCTGTAGTGTTCCTTGATTTTGTTTTCCTCTTGTCTTTGGGTTTTCCTAAGGAAGTCTTCTTTAAATGAAGTCTTTGTCTTGGAGCTTTTCTCAGTTGTAATGCTGTTTAATATAGGAGCCTGGTAAGATACTGGGTTAAGGGAAATGTTCTTTAATTGTTGGACTAGGTGTCACTCTTTTGGTGAGCATGTTCTTCTGGGTTTGGGCTTTCACAAGGATTTCTCTGCTTTTACTACCCTGTAGAAAAGGCAGAAAGGCCAGGTCAGTTAAGTTCTGTCAAAAACAGAAGGCTTGGCTCTGGTAAAAGAGGTCCCTTGAGTCTGGGTCTTTGTTAACGAGAAAAGAGTGCCCTGGGCACATTTCAGATTCCCCTGGCCCCTGCCAGTAGCTTCAGGAGATTCTTACCTGGTCTTTACCCTGACAATTTGGTGGAGCTTTAGAGGTCAGACTCCCCAGAGTGTGAGGGCTTCCCTAAAACTTTTTTTTTTTTTTCTCTGAAGTTGCCTTCCATTAATGCACAGTCCCCAACAATTAGTCAGTTGCCCTTTAATTTTCTGTTGTGGCTCCAGTGTGTTTTCTGCCCCTGAAAGCTTTGGTTTCCCTATTTGCCTGCCCCTCCAGGTTTAGGGATGATAGTTTGCCCCATGACTTTAGTCTCAGATGTATCTAAGACAAGTTGTTGATTTTCAGTTTGGTCACCTTCCCCATCCACTTCTTTCCTCATTGTAAGGATAGTCATGATGGTTTCCAAGCTCTTTACCTCAGACTGGAAGCCAGAAATCCATTAGTGTCTATATATAGTACCTGCCAATTTTAATTTTTTGTATGTGTTTGTGTCTTTCTATGAAGGCTATATCATAGGTACTGTTTTAGTCAGTTTTTTCATGGCTATGACCAATAAGTCCTGACAAGAATAATTTTGGAGGCTGAAATGTTTATTTGAGGGCTTATGGCTTCAGAGGTCTCAGTCCATAGATGGTCAGCTTCATAGATCTGGGTCCAAAATGAGGCAGAACATCATGGTAGAAAGGTATGGAAGAAGAAAGCAGTTCAGGACATGGCAAAAGGAAGCAGAGTTCTGATCTCCAGGAACAAAATATGTACCCCAAATGAATGCCCCCAGTGACCTACCTCTTCCAGCCAAAACCTGCCTGCCTATAGTTACCACCCAGTTAATACCCATCAGTAGGTTAATCCACTGATTAGGTTAAGGCTCTCATTACCCAATCATTTTACCTCTAGTACCATCTCACACATGAGCTTTTGGGGCACACCTCATATCTAAACTGAAACAGTACCTTAGAATTCTATTTTTATAAATGGTATATTTTTTCCAGTTATTTTGGTTGCTGTAGGTAAACAGGAAACTGTTACTTTTTATATATTCATTTTTTTTTTTGTCGATCATAATTGTTCTTCAAACCTTGAGATGGACACTTCTATCACTTACTTTAGTTCCACTCCTCTCTCAATATATACTCTTAAACCTTCAACATAGGTGTTGATCATTTTGATATATACCAATAATAGGATATATTTCTTTTGTTTGTAAGTTTCTGCTTTTTGAATTGGAAGTTTGGAGTTCCCCAAATACCTTAGGTGGAGCGTGACATCTGTGCTTTGAGTGATGTCCATTACTTAGTGGTAGAGGGTGAATAAAATATCCCTGGTTCTTAGGGTCCCTAAAAATATCCAGATACAATGTTACATGTAAACACAGGTGAAGTGGAGATAGAACAGGTTCATACTTATGGGCCACCTAGCGTGTGTGGAGAGTCATCACCTGTGCAGGGCATCAATACATTGGTTTAGACCAAGGTGTTGTGTGCCTGTGTATAGCATAGTTTCTCCTGCCTGCCAGTGTGGATAGGACAAGTGCACAGCAAAAGCAGTCCATCAAATGAGAAATTAGGTTTCAGGATTAGATTGCAGTAATGATTTGTCATTTCTTCATTGGTATTTTGGAGGAAAAAAATATTTTTAAGCTTTTGTGTTAAGTTTCAAACCATATTTGAGTGTCCTGTGTCTACTGTAAATGGGAATTCATAGGGTGCTTTATATAGCATATTTACATCTCTTGAGCCTATTTCCAAAAATAACCATAATAAACTTGTCATAGTCCTTTGATGTATTTGATAAGACATGAATTAGTATTTCTCTTTTTCACCAACATTTTGATCGTTGTTTAGCTTAAACTTAAGTAATGATCAACAGTTTATGCATGTAATTTGGTGGTTTAATACCAACCTTTGCCAGCCAGATTTTGCATTATATACTAAAAGTTCCTTTCATAAGTGCTGAAGGTTTTGAGAAATTACTGTTTTGATTTTCATAGTGTCATTTTGACCTGAGAACTTTTTCAAAGTTAAATGAGTTTGGTGGTTTATTAAATGTCATGAAGGGTTTTAAGTCTAGGATAAATTTAGCTGTTATTTTCCTCTCTCTTAGATAGTGCTTTAGATTGGTTTTGTGTTAATAGAAAGTTCTCAACCCAAGTCTTTCCCATCCTTTCTTTTAGGTTGTTGATTATATCCTGCCACCCTTGGTCTCCTTGGTTCAAAGTCAAAATGGTAAGTGAGACCACATTAGTAGAATCTTCTCAGTTGCATAATCTGTTTTAATTTTTTCTCAGTGTAGTCACATTCTTGACATTTTTCCCCTCTTCCAAGTGGAGTGGAGACTCTTCAGCTTGCGGTTGCTGTCAGAAACCACATCTCTACTTGTGAACCAGGAGAATGGGAATGGTGAGGAGGAAGTAAACATTGATTCTGAAGGCAATCTTCTGGCTCTTATGAGAGACGTCTTACTTCCCCAGTGAGTGTTTTGCTTCTGCACTCATGTAGAGAAGTGTAGGCCATCCTGGAAGCTTCTGTTAAACTAGGTCCAGTGATGGAGTTGGGGTTCTAAGTCCTTATATTTATGAACATATATTTGTATATTTAGTGTCAAAGAAGTCTAGAGACAGACGGTAACTGTTAAACTGTAGAGGACCCAGAACAACCTCAGTCCATCTCAAAAACATTCATTTAGAGTTTCCTATATTTTCTGCCAGACACACATGACTCTGAAGTTTTAGATTTCAAGGAGGTCCTGGCTTGGGGTGAGCTTTATGATTCAGGTCAGTGTTGTAAGACATTGAGACTTCTGGCTCTACTCAGAAACAATAGAGATGGAAGGAAGGCTACCCTTTGCCCAAACTCTTTAGTTACAAATAGGATGTTTTGGGGAGTGTTGAAAGAGTTGGTGGGACAGGTGATGAGTTAACAGAGACAGATTATTTTTTCCTTTTATTCTGTTGTTCCCATAACACAATAGGATGGGTTACTGAGAATTCCCATGACAAATGTGGAACACTACAATGATGTAGCTCAGGAAACAATGAATCTTATCAAATCATAATTTAAATACAAAAGTATGTCACATATCACTATTAAATGATTTTTTTGCAAAATTAGTATTTAATTTATGTATTAGTATTTAAAATTAAGTATTTTGTATTAGTATGAGTGCCTGTTCATGGTTTCTTTTAAGACCTAGGATGCAGTCTCAGTTTGACAAGTTTTCTAGACTAGCAGCCTTACCTGATGCTTTCCTCTTCTTGTTCTACTTCGCAAGATCTATTCTCATTTAAGAAAAATAATTATCACAATATAGATACCAGAGTACTTGCATTCTGATTTTGGTAATTGTTAAGAATTTCAACTATCTTTTATAAAATTAAGTCTATATTAGAGTTATTAACTCTAATTCAGTGCTTCTGTATTACTCATTTGAGCTGAAATATATAATGCATATTTCCTTTATTGTTTGTCTTTTTCAAAGATGAGGAATTAAAGAAGAAAATACAAATGTAAACCATATGGCAGTTCAAGGACGCAAATAATGTAGAGAAATTCAAGTTTTTATTAAACAACTTTAAATGCACTTCAAGTAGTAGTATGGAATTTACCAAGATGTGGTGTGGATGTCTTCAAACTTACAGACTGATTCTGATGTGGAGCACAGGTCTGGACTGTGCATTTCAGTCTCTAAGCCTTAGTTTTCTCATCTGCAGATAAAGCCAAAGATAGTACCTACCCCAAAAGATAATTGTGAAGATTAAATAGGATCCTTCTTGTACAGCAGTATGGTGTGTGGGCTGTAGTACACTCTTGACAAATGTTTAACACCACTACTGTTTTTATTAGGCTTATTATTTTAATCTCTCCTATTAATCTTTAAAATGAAGATTGTAATAGAAGAAGAGTACAAATAGTACATACTTTATAGACATGAAGTGATCATTAAAATAGATAATGCTTATTCTGCTTACTTGGCATATATAGTAAGGATTCAGTAATGTTTTGTAATTTTTTTCAATGAAATACAAGTAGCACATTAGTTTAGCTTTCTTGACTCTGGAAAACTAGAACCTTGGCAAAGAATTTGGTTTTTGAAGATGAAATTCTTGATAATTATGTTTAGAAATGTTAATACTGGAAAATTCATCTTCTCTACTAGGTATGCAAATATAATGGCTTAATTATGAAGTTTCCAGTATTCATAGGAGCTGATAGCATCTACTTGAATTTGGCAAGTAGAAATAGTGATGTTGATACTTTTAATGCTGTTAAAGTTTTAATCCTCCTTTGACCTTAAATAGTATTTTAGATAAAGCCAAAGTGATAGTCTTTTCATGCAGATTATTGTAAGCTCCTTAGTTATTACATGAAAGTATTGTGTTAGTCAAGATTATTTTATTTGAAAACAATAATATTCAGTTTAAATTAACTTAAAAAACTATTTGCTCACATAACTGAGAAATCAAAGGCTTGTGCTGGCACCAAATACAGCTGAATTCAGGGGTTTGATTTATGTCTACAATACTCCATGTAGGTATTTTTCTCCCCTTCTCTCTACTCTGCCAACACCTACATGACTTTGTTCTTAGATAGGCTTTGTGCTTTTGGGGGTTAAATGGCTCCTGTGATGTAGAGATACCTAGAGAAAGGTTGTTTCTTTTCTAGTAGCCCCTGACAAATTCTCAGGAAGGAAACTAATTTAACGTTGGTATGATGCCTGAAAGAACCATCAAGGCTTGCCATCAGAGAAAATGCCCATTTATTGAGGAACAGCTCTGCATATTTATAGAGCCAGGGGTGGTCTGACAGTTGGCAGGGGGTACTTTTTGATTGGTGTGTAAGGATCAGGTGAGCCAGCAGGGTTAGTCTGATTGGTGAGTAAGGATTATGTGAGCCAGCAGGGCTAGTCTGATTGGTGGGTAAGGATCATGTGAGCCAGCAGGGCTCATCATTGGACGGTGGGATCATGTGAGCCAGCAGGGCTCACCATTGGACGGCTCTTCTTGGGGGATTGGGAAGTTAGTCTTTGGAGCTGGGGTGACTCCCAACAATGCCTATGTTCTTATCAGGACTGCTGAGTAATATGAATGAAAGATCAATTGGAAGAATAAACATCATATTAGGATCCTCCTGAGAAACAGAACCATTAGGATATATGTATATGTACATATGTAATATAGACATGTATAAGATTTAGCTCACATGAGGATGCATGCTGAGAAGTCCCAAGATCTGTGTTCAGCAAGCTGGATACCCACGAGAGCCAATGGTGTGGCTTCTGTCCCCAAAACTGGTAGGCTTGACACTGGGGAAGAGATATTGTTTCAGGTCTAGTTGGAAAGGAGGGAATGACTTCTCTGTCCCAGCTCCAGGGAGCTCCCTCTTAGCCTTTGTGTCATATTTGGGTCTTCAGTTGATTAAGGCCCACCCACATTAGGGAGGACAGTCTGCTTTCCACAGTGTACTGATTCAGATGTTAAGCTCATCTCGAAGTCCCTTCACAGACACATGCATAGAGTAACATGTGACCATATGTCTGGGCACTTTGTGGCTCAGTGAAGTTAACATAAAATTAATGATCACAAAATTGTCATCAATACTGTGAACGAATTGCTTACTCTGTAAATTAATGAATCTGAAGGAACCATTACCTCTTCCCAGTGTATATTCTTTACTTTTTAAAGAAAGGAACTTTAGTTACTTCTTTAGTGCCTACTATATGCAGATTACAATATCATTTTTAGAGAGTAGTTCAGTCAGATTTTGAAACTTCAGTATGGATGAAAAGAGAGGGATGGGGCATTCCAGGCAAGAATGCAGTTTACAAAGGTATAGAAGAGGCAGAGTTCTGGGTAGTTTATAGAACTATGTGAAATAAGCTGTGGAGAAAATGTTTTCTCTCTCCATCAGCCCATTTGCTTATCCAAATACTATGAGCAACTGTGGCATGTAAATATTTCTAGTTGTGGGGATTATGAATAATTTACTCTTTGACAAAGCCAAAAATTTTTGGAATTTTAATTGAAGAGGTTTTTAAGTCATGTAAATAAAAATGTTGACCAAAGTATTAACTAAACATCCAGACCACCACCTCTACCACCACCACTGTCATCGTTGTCGTTGTCTTTTTTTTTTTTAAAAAGAAAACTGTGGGTCTGCATGTTGTTAAACAAATCCAGAAGAAATGTGTTCTTTTGAAACTGTGCTTTTGAGTTCACCCATTTTACTTTCTAAAGCAGAGTTTTCTCAGTATTCTGTGACTTTAGGACACTTTCCCCACAGCCTCCCGGTTAACATCTCCCAGAACTCTAGTGATCCTTCCCTACTAGCTTTGGAAGTACTTCATGAAGGACACTGTCATTAAGGTCAGGAGCAAGACAAGGATGCTACTATCAAAACTCTTACATAAATTTGGATTGTAAAGATTAACTGATGTAATAATATAAGAAAATTGAATGCTAAACATTGTTTTCTATTGATGCATAGCAAATTACCACAAACCTAGTTGCTTAAATCCACGTCCATTTATTAGGTCACAGCTCTGTCCCAAGTCCTAGGAGGTGACCGGATTCTCTGCTAAGGTGCAGTAAAAGGGGCCTAGCCAGCAGACTCTATCTGAAGACTCTGGGGAATATTCTGCTTTCAACCTGTTCAGGTTATTTGCAGAACTCAGTTTCTTGTGTTTTTTTTTAGCTTCCTGCAACAAATTAATACAAACCAACTGGTTTAAAACACAAAAATAGATTCTTTTAACAGTGTTAAGAGACCAGAAATTGAAATCAAGGTATGGGAAGGTGTCGGTTGCTTAAGGAAACTCTGAGGGGAAATCCAGGCCATGCCTCTCTCCTAGCTTCCGATGGCTGCAGGGATTTTAAAAATTGTTATTATAATTATTTGGCTCTATTAATTGTTATTATAATTATTCAGTCCTATTAATTCAGTCCTATTAAGTTAGTGGGTTTCACTTTGACGTTTCCATACCTGTACATACTGTGCTTAGATCAGGTACCCCTTCTTGCCACTCTCCCCTGGAGCCTCGGTCAGATTACTCCAGTCTGTGCCTCTGTCTTCACTTGCCCTTTTCCCATGTGTGTCTTTTCCAGGGTCCCCTCTACCTTTTTCTTGTGAGGACACCTACATTGACTCTAGAGTTCATTTAAATCTAGGTGATCTTGAGATCCTTAACCGTATTTGCAAAGATCCTTTTTCCATGTAAGGCTACATGTTAGGAATTGGTCATATATTTTGGGGGGTGACTATTCAATACAATAATTTTATGACAGTAGGCATTTAGCATTCCTCTCCTGGGTGGCTCTACATAGTTGTAGGACCATAATATCCATATATTTGCTGCCCTATGTCCCTTAAGACATGCACATTTCTTCTCAAGAGCCTCCTCCATCTTTAAGCCAGCAACAGTTTGTCAAATCTTCCTCATTCTTTTTTTTTTTTATTTTTACTTATTTATTTTTT